TAAAAGTAATTCTGCAGCCACACTACTCAGCAATCCTCAACTAAAATTATAAATATATATGTTATGCATTTGCTACATTCCTATTGTAAATGAATTACAAAACACAAATACGGAAATTGCACATTTGACATAGCGCAACTTGTACTTGATGCTAATGCAATTATACCGTACATGTATACAATTTAAAGATCCGGCTCATGCAAGTATTGCTACTTGTACCACTATCAATTCAACTAGCAGTTTTGATGTGGTGCAGGGACAAAGGTGGCTAGGAATGGCTATAATCTCACATGTTGATTCTTTATAATGCTTCAACTTTATCCTAATGACATATCATCATTTATTACTAAATGCAGGCAAAGAATAGGGCAAAATTGAGACTGGAATAGGAAGTATTATAGATCACTGAAACTATGGATGGGCATAACTTTTAGGTAATATAAATGTCAATAATTAAGTTTTGGTTTAGGAAAAATCTATTTTCCATGGACTTACTAGAGATACAGGTGAATCCTCCTAAATTTAACATTACTAAATGATGTACATCATCTACTGCAGGTACCATATACACATGCAAGTGAAAACTCAGAACCAAACTTTGACCTCACAACAGCAGATGTGATAAAGAAGTGGCAAGAAATAATGCAATCCATGTACCAGACTAACCAGGTACTAGATTAAAATATTACTTCAAATAATCATTTACTTAGTGCAACTAGACATATGTCAATAAGTATATATGTTCAAATAGATGCAGGGTTGACAGAATGCATTTGCAAATTCTATGTTGACAAATCTATCAGACATCAGTTACAATGACAGAGATGAGCACAGTAGGAACACCAATTATGATGCAGAAATACTTACTGGATCTGATGCTATCCCTTCAAATACCTACAGATACAAAAAGGTGAGCAAGTCATTGCTTAGATTAAAAAATGTCAAGATAAAAAGGTTGTTTTTTTGAACTAAATTATATTTCAATGTAGGGAGGCTACACTAAACTTATGCTAGAACAAATCAGGAACTCACAGGAAGATGATCAGACTGACAGGAATAGGTAGGTAAAAATTATACTGCAAGTATACAGAAATTACAGTGCACACATGTTCAAATTACACCCATATATGCGATGTAAATTCAACATAATAGGAGTGTAATTTTCAATACTTCATTATAAATTGTGCAGCTACATGAAGGGATGCAAGGAACATTAAACCAGATGATAATTGGAAATGCCATGAATGAGGTCAAATTGTATATGCTTGTCAATCTAGTTGTGTTATATTTTTGGTAAATAATAACCATTGTCATTAACAAACAAATAACACAGAATATGAGCCTCGAGGATCTGGATGGAATCTTTGGACCACAAACTGAGTGGTCAATATCAGAGTCAAGAATGCCATATGAGGTAGATACAGACAGCTAAGCAATTTGATTACATTTATAAGCAATACAAATATGTACTGGCATCAAAAGTAAACTTATCTTTGCAAAAACAGTATGGAGAAATGGCAAGCATGGCTGATGATGATAGATCTGAAATTGATTAATATCATTGGCAAACTGATGTATTCAATAACATGGAAATTAATGAGGTACATAAAAATGATCTCTTCAACAATTTTAGTCTATGGTAAAAAAAATTATTTGTATTATAAATGCCATTACTCAGAAACTAAGACTACTGCTAATATATTTACAGGCACAGCAAGAACAACAAGATGATCAACCAACAATGGGACAAAATGACCTGAGGATAATAGTAGCAGAATCAACAAGTACTTGCCAAATTTAAGTAGCCAATTAATTTAAGTGGCCAATTAATTTATGTAATTTTTGTAATGAGCAGGCTGTTACAAACCTTAAATTAAATTATACCTAGATCTACAATTGCATACGCTGAGAACTACAATTGCAGTGCCCAATATCTGCAATTTAAATTATTGGTGATTGCAATTGTGTAACCGAATGTTTTACTTGTCAGCAATGCAAAGCCTTCTGAAACTCTAGACAACAACACCACTTTTGGATCTACAGTTAGCACTTGTAGTACGTTCAGAAACTCTAGGGGCATAGCCATCGCCGTATGACCTTGCGAGAAGCAGGGTGTTGGCCTGCAGCAAGCAAACCATGGCCATCAAGTGCAGCACCAACTCCACCTCATACTAGGCATCTGACATGGCCGTCTCCTGAGATTGAACAAAGGCTGAAGTTACATAGCTGATTTGGAGCAACAGAAACATCAGCATGATCATGAAATTCAGAGCTAAACATACATACCTCGGCATTATCCTTTTGGTTACTCTAGGTGAACTGCACTTTGTGGCTCAAGACGCTACTTGCACGTATTGCAGACTAGGTGAAATAGAATTCAGAAAAACAAAACTGTGAACCAAAACAAAAACAATCAAACCACCACAATATTGCAGTTGTTTCTCACCTTATTCTAGTCCTAGCAGAACTAGCAAGTAGTCTTCAAGGGCCTTGGTTGTACTAGACCCTGCACATACAGAAACACAAATGACAAAAATGAGATATGTGTTGGCACAAATTAGAATTAACAAAGTACATGAAGTGTTAGCACAAATCACAAGAGAAAACTTGATGTGGACAAGGACAAAAACTAGACTTGGGGAAGCACAAATCACAAAAAACAAAGGAAATGGTGAGTTAGCACAAAATCACAGTAAAAAGACAAGGACACGGTGAGCTGCTGCTCAAACATACAGAAATCACAACTAAACACTAAAAGTTTTTCCGAGCCTCTACTTGATATACTTACACATATGAGAGCTATTGCACCACCTCCTGCAGGTCATCAGGGTTGAAGCCTATGTCATCATGCAAGACGGGATAGGTCATCAGGGTTGTTGTGGTTGGCCTTGTAGTCCCCTAGCAACAAAAACATGCACTTAGATCATCAAATCAGCTAGAATGGCTGCAAATATTTACACAGGAAAGATAGACTGCAAAAAAGCAAAAACACCAGCCACTAAAATCATCTAGCAGAAAAAAGTGAGGCAAATGGTTCAACACTAGCTTATTGCATATACTCAAAACTACAATTGCGCTGCTAGATACTTGCAATTTACATTATTGCTGACTGCAATTATGTAACTGAATCTTATGTTCATGAACACAAAAGATTAATAGATCAAAAGCAATACAACTACCATTCATGTGGCTGGTGGTTTTGCAGCTTTCTAAGGACAAGGTGACAAATATATGGTGTGTGCTAGAACAAATATATGTTGCTCCTATGTTCCATTAGTCTAAGCAGCAGTCAGAAAACAAAGGACTAAATGGGCTATATATTGGTGTGGGCTAGCATAAGAAATATTGTATAATCAGCTAGAATGGCTGCAAATATTTATACAGGAGAGACAGACTGCAAAAAAAGTAAAACCACTAGCCACTAATATGTATTGACAGCAAAAAAAAGCACAGACTAGATGACCAGGCAAATCTTGCAGTACTGACCTCTCTATGGATTATTTCAGGGTAGCAGCTCCCTTGATCTCGTTCCCACCATCATCCTGACAATGAAAGAAAGAACCAAGGTCAAATGACAACCAATACTACTGATGATGGGCAAAGAGAGCCAAACATCACATGTTGTCACATAGGAAAGAAGAGACTCACATTGGTGTTGGAAGTCCATAGGGTCATCACGTAGAGGCTGCATGATCAGAGTGCTATCCTTGTAGGACTCCTCTATGAAGCTGTCTATCTCAGAGATTACATCATCAAAAGCCTACAACAAACATTAAGAGATAATGTTTCAGCGAAGTTCAGACTGATAGCAATGTACACCAAGACAGAGATAGAGAATATATACTGTCACACCAAGTTCAGACTGATAGCATACACTGAACCTTCACATGAAAAAGGCATGAAATCTTTTTTCCATGACATACACAGATGTGGCTGACGTTTCATGGTCTGTACAGATGCCAACCATCATGTCTCAGGTATAAAAATTTGACAAAGTAGGCAACAACATTCATGTCACCCATGCATATAACACAGAGTGCTGATATTCAGTAGCCCCTATGCCACATCCCTTTTCTACTGGGCATGGGTACTACATTGCTTGACCAAGCTGACAAAGAATAGAACTAGGAATTTAACAGAACATTCAGAGAAGTCTGCTAACACCTCAAAAACCATTTACGGAGGCTTAACTGATCTGCAAGTCGATAATGCTAAAACACAAAGATGTAGTATAAACACAGAGATGCTAAAACACAGAAATGTGCCTGACACAGGCATATATCACAAAAAATAGATTTCAATATGTTTTAGCACAGATCACAAGAGACAATTTTTTTCTATAAAAGGACAAGGACAAAAACTTGGTGTATGTTGGCACAAATCACAAAAAATAGATTTCAACATGTCTTAGCACAGATAATAGGAGACAATTTTTTTCTATGAAAGGACAAGGACAAAAAAGAGGTGTGTGTTGCTACAAATCACAATTAACAGATTCGAAGATGTGTTAGCACAAATGACAATTATTTTCTATGAAAGGACAAGGAGAAAAACTTGGTGTATGTTGGCACAAATGAAAAAAATGTAGCACCACTGACTGATTACTAGTTTGTGGAAATAACCAATACAAATTCCACTGTATACAACATTGTGAGTTTTATCATATACCTTGGTAGCACCACTGCTACTGGGAATGATGTTAAAGCTGGCAGCCCTGCCACCTCTCCAGTCCTTGGCTGAAAGACAAGCATCATGCTGTCATTTCTGCAACAGATGTATGATTTGTTGTCCATATTGACAAACAACACTCTTGCACTCCTAGCTAAATACACTAGCAGCACCAATCTTTTCATTGATTTTAGTATGTGCCCTGCATTGATCATATGAACTTGTAAGCACCAGGGAAACACAGTTAGAACAAAAAATAGAGGCAATATGTCCACGTGCAGGTGCATAAGCAAGGACTTCAAGAATTGACAGATGAAGATTTTTTAAGGGAAATGGGTATTGGCTGTGATGATATTGGACTGCAACTTACTCAAATTTCAGAGATAACGCCTAACATTGATTGTGAAAAGGTTTGAAAAGGACAATTGGGTCCCCTTACTAAATATTTTTATTGAAACCTTGTGCCATTGAATTTTTAAATAAACTACTTAGTTCTAAGCTAATCAATTTATCTTTTTATATGCAGGGTGCTTTGGCAAGAGATTTTGGAATTAGCATTGAAAGTTACTACAAATTTGATTCAAACAATGTAAATCCCAATTATACTCATGAGGTAAATAAAAATTCCACTTATTGCACATTATGACAACTAGAATTACAGTGCTACATACTTGCAATTTACACTATTCCTAATTACAACAACTGATATTTGTGTTTAATTTGATTGTTTCTCATGAACAGGAGAGTTCAACAGCAATAGTGAACTACAACAGCTATGGACAAGAACAATACACAAAAGAAATGAATGTGAGTTTCCAAAACTCATACAAGGCCCATGGTATAGCAACTCCTAGAGACAAGCCACATTTTTCTAATGGACCAAAACTGCTCAATTGCATCAAGCTGCTGCTGCTATAGCTATTTCCCTACTCATATTTTTCTGTAGCATTGAACTAGCAGCAGCGGCTAATACAAAGCACCCAAACAGTTGCTGCATGACACATGTTCATTACATCACAATATAATACCTAAAACAATACAACACTGAACCCTACATTCTGTCAAAAATAGCTCACATGTTCAGTTCAGATTACCTCTATAGTTTCGAAGTTGCTGTTCTAAGAGAAGTGTGAAATAGTTGCTGCATGCATGTACAATCCAATTCTTTCAAACTTTTGCTTCAGGAAACAATATCTATCTTTTGTCAGTGAGGAGTAACCTGAAACATGCAAATAAGCAGGAGCAATTTTAGAAAATTGACTTGTAATCACTTGTTAGAAAGACTAATATTGACCTATATACATAGTTCACTCCAAATAATATACAGTCACATAAAACAGCAGCATACTAACATAAAACAAATTGTTTCTCTCTGATAGATCTACATAACAAACCCTAACTAAACCTGCAGCTTACTAAATGACAGAAACACAGAGCAGCAGGTGGAAACAGCTAAGATGTATTCTACCAATCCTATTTGTGTACGCCATTAGAGTGGCTTTCATCTGGACAAAGATTCAAGAGGAGGGAGTACAGTTCTAATGGCTTATATGATCTGTCCCTTTGACTACAACCATAATTCACGGCTGTTCTCAGTTCTCTCTAACAAATATCACAAAAGATTATATAATTGCTTGTGAAAAGTTATCACTTTACAGTATTGACTTACTCCAGGAAGCTACATATGACCTGATGCTCCTTTTTAGACAAATAGGAACAACAACAACATATGACCTGATGCTACTTTTGACAGCAAGTGAAATCCATAAGTACTATCATCAATCAGTTCACTACAACAACATGCTAGGATGGTCACAGCAGCTTGTGTATGTAGAAAACTAACTTAAGAGCAGTTAAATCTTGACTGTAGCAAATTTTCATGTTATTTTTTCCCTATTTTTCAGAACTAAATGTAGTTCATAGCATACAAATAAGCACACAGGTAGTATCAGATAATATAGACATGTTTAGATAATTGTAACAGCTATAAGTTCAGTAACAAGCATGATCACAGATATGACTTGTCATTTTTCATAAACAAGCAAAATTGCCATCAACTACATAAATTATTTAAAAAAATGTAAATGGAAGAACACATACCAAACTATATAACTTTAGGAAAAAGCATCTTCCTCAAACAGGTTCCTGCTCCTGATAAGAGTTCCACCTCTGAGGGCGAACTTCCTCCATTGGTAACTGAAAACACAATGAAATAGAAATTGCAAACTAAAATTGCATACTAAAATTACAAGCTAGAATTGCAAAATGAAATTCCAAACTGAAAGCACATAATTAACAGACCTGAAGATGATGACTTGGTCAAGCTTTCTTTTCCCAGAACTAGTGAACAAGTCAATCAGACACTCCCTGAAACAAAATCAAATTCCAACAAGTAATGGGGGAAAGCATGTGTCAATACAACATAGAGCATATTCAGCAAAGTATATCATGCTCAAACTAAAAAAAAAGGTAATGCATGTAAGATCACTAACAAGATCAAATCGTCATCTTTAGAAGAACAAGAGGGACCTCCACAACCCTCAAGCTTGTCCTTGTCTTCGCTATCAAAGGTTACTACACTGACACATAGTGGTCAATATTATTTTATTTGATATAGTTACCACATATAATTGAGAAAAAAAGAAATAAATTATACTTACACCAACTTTAGAGAAAAAATAATGCTTGTAAGAATTCTTGAGGTGTTTCCTATGGAATAACAATCTACACAAAGCATTCACTACAAAGTAATGAACCTTTCCTTGAGGCTTAAGAGAACTTGCAAGTGCACTCAATTTCACAACCACTTGCCCATAATTGATTACTGTAAGACTGAAATAAATGAAAACAATTCATAATTACTTGATTCAAGTGTACTCACGTGTGGTGAAAATGCTAAGGAGGTTATAAACATTTAAAACTTACACAGAATGTTCGCTTTCTGCCATTCTCAGAACAACAACATACACGTCAGCTTCAAGTCTGGACACTATTATCTTTGAACGAGGCATCATATAAGGGCTCAACTTGTATTTGCTTGGGATCACGATCCTCTTACGACAATGAACAACCAGCTTTGCACTAGAAGAGTACCAAGGACCTTGATTTGAAAACAACTCAGAGTCGTCTGATAAACCATTGCTTCCCATACTTTTTACAGAAACAGAACTCCCACCGTGATGGGATGGAAGAGGTGTAGGTGCCTGCAAAATTAGGAAAAAACATAAAGTTGTTCGAAAATCATAAAGTAAAATTGAAATAATAGGGCTCATACTATTTCATTCTATTCTCCAACTACCTAACAAACAAACACGGCTGAGAGGTATAAGAAGGGGTAGCAGAACTGATTCTATTGCCTTTATTCTCAATATATACAGCACTAGTACCGCTAAGGTACACTAGAGTATGGACAGTACTACAACTACTTGTACTAGCTATTACATGGCTGAGAGCAGCCCCCAACTACCACTGTTCACCTAAACGGCCGTTTAGCCCATTTAAACACCGTGTAAACGCTACACGGTGGTGCGCCGTTTCCATTTAATCACCCGTTTAATTGGCCATTTAGCCCGTTTAATGGGATGTTTTGCTCGAATAATGGCTAAACGGTAGGTGACCGACTGTTTACCGATTAGCGTTTAGGAAAACATTGCCAACTACTAACGATTGTCCTTCCACTACCATGGTTGCAGCAAAAGCAAATCAACCGATTATCTCACAAGACAATTGTTCCAAAATGATTAAACTAGATATGGCAATTTACAATGTCATAGTGTTCTTCAAAAGGGCTGATTGCAGCTAGAGGAACAGGAGCAGTTGAATCTTCAGCAGTCTCAGAATAATCAGTAAAAGGTAAAGACTCCATATGGAGAAGGTCCTAATCAAAAAATACTACCATATTAGTTACAGAAAAGAGAGAAAAGAAACACAAGATATGTCACAATACAAAATTGATCCAATCTAATAAATAAGCTTACAGTTTCAACATTGTCATTTCTTTCGATCTCAATAGTTTTTTGATTGCTCACATTACCGCCTCCACCAAATGGATTAGACCTCATCTAGTCAACAAACGTCCAACCCTCTGATGCAGGGCAAAGTTAGAAGTAGAAGCTGCTCTCAGATTGAACCTATCAAAAAGTGAAAGTAAATCAGGTGCTAGTACAATGAATAAGACAAACATATTGGAACCACGATTTACAAAGAACAAGTTACAAACATATATTAGCAAGTAAATCAGGTGCAAACATATAAAAAGGTAAATTAGGTGCACGTAAGGTCAAACATACATTTACAGGGACACCTCCATGGCATATATTAGCACCATAATTCTGATCTGAAGTAGAAGTTGTTTTCAGCTAAATAAACCATACTAAATAAGTACAAAAATGTATATACATACAATATGATGATTTAGCAAGGGAAGAATAAACCATTGCTTTTCCTGCTTAATTAAATATTAAATTGGTAAAGAAAGTTGAAACTTACAGGTGACAAGAACAGATATTGCACATGTCAAATATCATAATTGAGTATTTCCAATGTGCAATTTACTGTTAATAAATGTGCAATCTAAAAATAGGTACTAACTAGTATGATCCAAAGTAGGAGCTACATTTTTAGCCAGTTGAGTTTCTTTTGAATGGCAGGGAATAGTTTTTTGCTCTGAAACATGCAAATTAGGACTAGAAGTAGTTTGGACATTCTTCACTGCACAAAGACCATGATCACTCTACTTCAGAGAACCAATAGGATTCCTTCTACTAGACGCTTCTCCTACACAGAGACCATGCTCAAACATGTGTCTTGTTTGTATCATAGATTTGTTAAACATTTTTTCATGAGTAGGACAAACCTGGAGCCTTCTCAACCGTATCCGTCGAGTGTCCAGTAGCTCCACTAGTTATTTCACCTACTTGAACAATGACAAACAGATGGAATAAGTTGCATGGGCAAAATAAAAAGGGGGTCTGTTGTTCATAAGTGCATGGGCAAAAAGCACAATATAAAAACAATGTGAGTCTGCTCCAAAACGTAGACTGCAATGAAAGATCATGGTAATAACAAAAACAATGCAAGTCTATTACCTTTGTTGAATCAAGAGGTATGTCCACTATCGCACCACGATCATTGTAGAAACCAGTTGGTTCAAGAGGAAGAGGTGGCATCCGAGAATTAGAAGCAGCAGGTACACTTCCTTCCTACAGAATAGGTAGCAATAGGAAGATCGGTCAAATAATAGTTAAAGAAAACAGGTGGAAGATTAGAACTAGCTGGAAGCTTGGTTTGCATTTGCTAAAAGATAACATAAAACTATGGCCCTAAAGCTCTGAATTGACAGTACTATAAGTGTTAGATGGAGCACATCAAGGGCCAACAGAGTCACAAACTCATGATACAAGAGCACAAGCAGCACATGCCAATTTCCCAAGGAGAAAGAACTTTGGCAAAGACCTAATGCTACAAACAGCCCTCAATTCCCTTGTGCCATTAATAACTCACCACCAAAAAAATATGCAGTCAGCCCTCAATTCCCTTGTGCCATTAGCATATTGTATCTTATGAAATATTGATGCCAACAGCACTTTGCGTAAATTCCCCCATAAAATAAGTTTTCACACATGCACTACAATGAGTAGGTCCCTAATATAACCCCACAAATCTACTGCTGCCAACCCCACACCCTCGAACCCAAGCATCAAATTCCATGTTTAAGCATCATTACTCCCTTGAAAACCTCAGAACAACAAATACAAGCACAGCCATGGGGAATTGGACTTGTCTAGCACTCAATAGCTAGCTGCTGGCCCCTACTAGTCACTGGAATGGAGACTTTTACCATACTGATCATTGAAGAATAGACATTTAAAGATAGCAAACAACACAAACCCAAAAAAACCAATACCAAACAGCAGAAAAATGCTGCAACCTATGCCTATAAAGTATTTTGCAGCACTATCTACAAATAGCAGTGAGGTGCACACACAGGAAAAAAGGAACAGGGAAACACAGAAACTCACTTTTAGTTCAAGCTTCTGTCGTTTACTTGCAGCATTAGAAATTATGACTAGGGCTTCTTCAACAACTACAGGATTGTCCTTTGTACCTCCTGTTCTAGTATGATCCAGCACACTTGCCTAAAATTCAAAAAAACATTATTCAGGGAAATAATTTTAAACTGAAATCACTATTCTAAACACAATAACATAATCAACAAAAGAAAATTTTGAATAGAGATGATCCATCAATTTAGAAAATACAAAACTAAAGGAAAATGAATAAGATGTAGGAACATTGACCTCAGCATCATCATCTTTTCTGCAATTGAGAGGGGATTTTCCAAGACGTTGAGATAGTCCATATCGAGTCCTAGAAGCTACACTATCAGGACTGGAAGTTTGTG